TCAGTCACATATCTGTACATGGTACCAGGAGTAAAAGTATTAAATAGGTAATGTCTGTGTGAGAAAGACGGGATGGACGTCATAAAACCACCAGAACCATTGAAGCTCACAGGAATTATTGATTATGCGTGGAAACAGTTTAAACAGGCGTTTCAACTTTATTTGACTGCAACTGGCGCCAACGACAAGAGCGGTGAGAGGAAAGTGGCATTGTTACTGACGATTGCAGGGACACAAGCGATAGAAATATACAATACGTTTGAGTTCATAGAGGTGGGAGATAAAAACAAACTGAACAAAGTTCTGGAGCAGTTCGATGCATACTGTAGTCCGAAAAAGAATGAAGTATACGAGAGACATGTTTTTCGTTGCCGCGTTCAGCAGCAAGATGAATCGTTTGACTCGTATGTGACTGATCTAAGGCTGAAAGTGCAATCCTGTGACTATGGCGACATGCAGTCCTCCATACTACGTGATCAGATAGTATTTGGAATACACAATAAAAAGGTGCGGGAACGCCTGCTAAGGGAGGACAGTCTGAAATTAGAAGATGCAATCAGAATGTGCAGAGCTAGCGAACAGACTGAGAAACAGATAAAGATGTTTGAGAAGCCATCCGTTACTACTGAAGCACCAGGGGGTGTAGACAGGGTGGTCAGAGCTAGCGCACCTCGCTCAGAGGGGGAACGTTCTAATAACCCACGTGAAACAGGATCAGACTACGTCATGAACTGTAGGAGCTGCGGTGGGAAACATTGCTTCAGGCAATGCCCCGCATATGGGAAGGTGTGCTCGAAGTGCAGAAAAAAAATCATTTTGCAAAAGTGTGCCTTTCTGCCAGAGAAAAGAAACAAATTTATGTGATGGAAGAGAGCGATCAAGGCTATGATGAGGATGACATATTCTATACAGACACAGTCACTGTGGAAAATAAGGGCACTTCAACGCTGGAAGTTAATGTAAATGTAGACAGGTGGATTGTGCCACTTAAAGTAAATGGCACAGAGATTCACATGAAACTTGACACAGGAGCTATGGCAAATCTTATCACATTAAAAGACTTCAAAGCTCTGCGCCACAAGCCAGTTATAGAAAACAAAAAAGTGGGATTGAGAGCTTACAATGGACAAATGATTGAAACATAGGGCGTCTGCAGATTACAAGTCCAGAACAAGCACATTAAGAGACATCTACCATTTGTGATAGTGCCGAAAGGGAAGGACTCCCTACTGGGAGATCAAGCTTGTGAGGAAATGGGACTTGTTAAACGTGTTCTAAACATTGCCAAGACAGAGAGAAAAGTAGGCCTACAGCCACGGCAGCTGAAAAATGCAGGAGTCACCACATCACAAGCAGACAACTGGGAAGTGCAGTATCCCAATATTTTTGATGGCATAGGGGTGCTGCCGTTCACATACAGCATTAAACTGAAGGATAATGCTAGACCTGTGGTGCATGCTCCACGTCGAATTCCTGTTCCACTGAGACAAGATCTTTGCAAAGAACTGGACAGAATGGTGGCATTAAATGTCATTCAACCCACTAAGGGAGCCACGGAGTGGGTCAACTCAATGGTCTGCTTAAGGAAGCCAAATGGAGCTCTCAGGATATGCATGGACCCAAAAGACCTCAATGAAAACATCCTCAGAGATCAATATCAAATTCCCAAGAGAGAAGAGATCCTGAGTGAGATGGCTGGGGCACAGTGGTTCACAAAACTTGACGCGTCACATGGATTTTGGCAGTTGCAAATTGACAGTGCAAGCGCAGACCTATGCACCTTCCCCTTTGGGCGCTACAGTTATCAGAGACTCCCCTTTGGCATTTCACCAGCACCAGAAATTTTTCACTGTGCAATGGAGAATGTGTTTGAAGGACTGGAGGGGGTCAGGGTTTATATTGATGATGTCATAATATGGGCGGAGACCCAAGAACAGCTCAACAGCAGAGTGCATAGTGCACTTCAGAGAGTCCACAAGTACGGGCTCAGATTGAACAAGAAGAAATGCCAGTTTAGGATCGACTGACACCGGCAGGAGTACATCCGGACATGAACAAAATCAAAGCAGTGACTGACATGCCCCAGCCAACAGACAAGAAGGCGGTACAAAGAGCATTAGGGATGGTGAACTACATGGGAAGATTTGTGCCTAATCTTGCCGCAAAGACTGTTGCTCTCCGCCAGCTCCTGCAGTCAAACACAGAGTGGTCCTGGCACCAGACACATGACAAAGAGTGGAAAGAAATCAAGGACATTTTAAGCACAGAGCCAGTGTTGTTGTTTTTTGATCCGAGAACGAAGACCCGAATCTCCACAGACGCCTCAAAAGAGGGACTGGGGGCCGTCTTGCTGCAGTATCATGATGGGGCTTGGAAACTAGTGGCTTATGCTGCACGATCCATGACAGAAACAGAACAAAGATATGCGCAGATTGAAAAAGAGTGTCTGGGGCTCGTCTTTGGCTGTGACAAGTTCCACTCTTATGTCTTTGGCTTGCCACACATTGACCTTGAGACTGACCACAAGCCACTCATAACTATCAGCAAAAAGCACTTGAATGAGACGACACCACGCATTCAGCGTATGATGATGCGTCTACAGAAGTATACCTATGAACTGTCATACAAGCCGGGGAAATACCTAGTAGTGGCTGATGCTTTGTCAAGGGCCAGACCAGCACAAGGACTGAACACAGACGGCACAGAGGAATATGAAGCCATAAGAGGCCACGTGGATGCTGTGGTGGAGGCTCTACCTGTGAGCTCTACCCTGAAAGAGAAAATAGTAATGGAGACGGTAGTGGACCGCCAGCTCCAGAAAGTGATATGGCACATGCGAAATGAGTGGCCAAAGCAAGCGTGCCCGCAGTACTACTCATTCCAGGATGTGTTGGCAGTAGCTGATGGCCTGTTGCTGAAAGGTGACCAAATAGTCATCCCAACAAAGCTGCGGAAGGAGGTCCTCCAAATACTGCATAGAGGGCACTTGGGCATAGAGAAAACAAGGAGACTAGCCAGACAGACTGTTTACTGGCCAGGCATGAATCGTGACATAGCAGAGATGATCAATGACTGTGCCACTTGCCTTACTTACCATAACAGACAGCAAAGAGAACCGCTGCTCACAGGTTGCAGCTAGCATACTAATCCAAATAAGTGACAAAATAACGCAAACATTTTTCTATTTACATGTTGTGATTTGTATAGTCACAGAGTGTACAAAAAACAAAGTCACATGAGACACAGACATATTTTAACCGTATAAATACTGGGAACTATATTCTCTGAAGGCGAAGCACTGCTACTTGGGCGGAGTGATAACCGCAGCACCTGAGACGCGCCGTGGTGAGGAGCAGAGAGAGCGTCTCAGGTGCTGCGGTTATCACTCCGCCCAAGTAGCAGTGCTTCGCCTTCAGAGAATATAGTTCCCAGTATTTATACGGTTAAAATATGTCTGTGTCTCATGTGACTTTGTTTTTTGTACACTCTGTGACTATACAAATCACAACATGTAAATAGAAAAATGTTTGCGTTATTTTGTCACTTATTTGGATTAGTATGCTAGCTGCAACCATTTACATCCAGTCTTTGTGCTAAGCTAGGCTAGCGGTGGGTGCGTCAAACAGACTTATAGCACGCACGGAGATGAAAAAGGTATGTATGGACTTATCTAACTCTGGGGGATAAGGTGAATAGGCTAAAGTCCCAAAAAGTCGGAGTGTTCCTTTAAAGCATATTTACCTAAATCTTCATCTTCGTGTTTCTGTCCTCAACTCTGGCTGACAATATCATGATGTACAATAACCAATCATGTTTTTTTTTAAATATAAACATATTAATGAGTAATACAAACAATATTTTGTTGTTAGTTCATACTGCATAAGTAATGAAACTAATTAGAACAAACACTTTTAACTTTTTAATTTGGAAAATATTATTATTGTGTAAACATATTGTAAAATGTATCCCATTTGACTGTATTATGTATTAGACTAATATTTCCTTCTGTCTATTTGTTATAGAATAATTATCATGTGGTCAGTTTTCAGATTGGGTGTTGTAAATTTGCATTGCAATTGAGTTACTGTATGCTTTGTATTTATTATTAATAGAGTAACGAGCGGTCATCTTTTATTTGCATCTGTCAAAGTAGAGATAATATTATTAATATTAATCGTATTTATTTCATTTTCAGGAATGATTGAGGTCTTCAGAAATGACATGATGTAGGCTTAAAAATCAATTTTGTAAATTTGTTGTATAAATTTAGCATATTTTATTTTAATTGTGAGCTGTTTATACTTATTTTTTATTATTAGCTATGTTTTTTAAGATATCCTAATGGTTTTCATATAGAGAAATGCACGTTTAACTTGTTCAAGGCTTTGTATCAAATGTTTATTTTGACTTTCATATGAATAAATAGAGTAATATTTTACATTAAATGCATCATACTCTGTTTCTTTACTTATAACTTGTAACGACATGAGCATGGATGTAATAAATGACGTGATGCAGATGGAAAACACTTTACAACACGGTTAGACTATTATTAATATTTTTAAAAAATAAGAAACAGTTTTGTTATATATCACTGAACTAACAATGAACTATATTGTGTTTGTCTCCATTAACTTTAAACGTGATAAATAGGCCAGGTTTTAAAATATTGCTCATTGTATTTCAAAGTGACTTTAAATATTTTAATAGTGTAGATATCCGTGTGAAAATAGCTCTAATGAAGGAGAGTCCCAGTCTGAAACAGCTGGCTAGCCCATAACTGTTAGTGGTTAAGAGGAACACACTGATCTGTGTGGGTTAGTCTGGCTCCCCGTGTGTGTGTGTGTGTGTGTGTGTGTGTGTGTTAGATGTTTAGTTAGACATTACCCGGAAACTGACGTGCCCTGAGGCTTCGACAGGAGAGAGGCAGAGCTTACTCGATCCTCGTCAAACTGCGCTCCAGTTCCAGATCCAGTTCCAGCTCCAAATCCAGTTCCAGT